GGAATCTGCAATGGCAATGTTCCCTGTTCTTTCACTCACTGCAATGCTTCCTGGTCTTACAAACTCTGCCGGTCCTTTCCCATGTGATCCAAATGAACGAAGAGTCTTGTATTGATGAGCAGTCACCTGAACTCTCCAGGGACTACCAGTCAGCGGCTTCCCATTTACTTCGACAACAATCTCATGCAAGCCAATACTCTTTGGCTCATAACGCACTGTGTAGTGACCATTTTGATAATGCTTAGGTTTTATTTCTCCATCTTCGCCTTTAGGAGAGCGAATTTTCACAGTCACTCGGTCTTCTTCATCATAAAACAGTTTCCCCTCCGAGTCTCGTGTAGTTACAGTGAAGCCAATTTCAGCACCAATTTCAGCTTCTTGCAGACCGTTTCCTTCAGCTGCAGATTTTGAAGGATCAGTGTAGCTCGCGATCACTTGACCCGGAACTAAGTGTCTGACAGTGTTTAGAGATTCTGCATTGACACGATAGATAACCGATTGTGGGTTAAAAATTTCGATATCCTTTGAAGTTAAAAGTTCCTCGCATCGAGCAACGACAGTATTTCCTGCTTGTAAAATTTTGAGGCCGACTTTTTTTTGTACGATGTCTTCGCCACATTCAACTGAATTTCTTAGCTGATCTGCGTAGACCTGAAATTCCTCCAATTTCTTAGCGTAAATAATTTTTTGTGAGGCCTTAATTTCTTCCAGCTTTGTCTTAGCGGCAGTTTCATGTTCCCTCGCAATTCGAATGATTTCCTCAGAAATTTCTGTCACCTTCTTTTCGGCAGCGCAGATTTCCTTTTCGCTTTTGCTCATCAGCTCAGTTTGCTCAATTATCTGTTTGTTCACGATAGCCATTCGTTCCTTGACTCTAGCGAAGACTTGTTTCATTTCCATTTTTTGTTCTTCAACTGTCTGCTGTATGTCCACCATGGCGTGTCGATTATGGATCAATATACTGCATTTCTGGCAAATGCAAACGTTGCAGTCTTGACAATAATATTGCACTACCTCATTTTCGTGATATTTTTCTTTACACTTGATGGACTCATGTAGCAATTCCTCGGCCTTTGAGTCTTTTCCTGTCGTTTAACATGAAAGTAAAGAAAATAAAACAGTGTAATTCGTCTTCTGCAGCACTTGCTTGCCTACAACCGCCGGCTTAAACACTGCCTGTTGATTTATAAAGGGTTATAAAACTGCTACTTTGGTATATTAATTTGATACATTGTTGTAGAAATTGTACGGAACATTCTGACACCAATATTTCTTTTAACTCTTTTGACATTCCTAGAGGCCTTAATGGATCTACTCTCGTATTTACAGTCTATTCTGTACCAAGAGACTTCTCTCGATTACGTGTATGCTAGGTTTATATCTGTAATCTGTATGCTTAGGATGAAATTATTTGCTATTGGTATGCCATAGTCAATTACTTTATTATAATGTTACATTGGATGAAACTCTGCTTTAGACTATTCCCTATGTGCAGAAATCATCAACAAATTTCCATTAATTTCCTTTGTTTGGCTAAAAATCCTCTCAACGAATTCGTTAGTAGTAACCTTAAGGTGGAGGGGGGACACGAGCATCCACTCCTCCTTCCTCTCTTGTCTCTACTTTCTGTAATTACGAAGCGTGTTTTTGCTTATCATTACAGTTTACCTTGACGCCCAGAAAATTTAAAATGATCTAGTAATTCTTGATATTGTAAATACCTTTGACAGAGCTTTCCAAGTCATCCAGCTTTTTGATGACTTCATTCAGCTGATCTTTCACGTTGTCTTCATCTTTCTTCCATTGTCTGAGAACTTCTTTGTAGTGATCTTCAAGATCAGGGTCCATGACTTCAGTTTCCAGCTTGTCAATAGCTGTTTTGTACTTGACTCCTCCCAATCGCACCAGAGTGTCCCGGATGTCGTCCCAGTATGCATTGAAAGCTGCATCATCCACTGACGCGCGCTCAGCGTGACCATACACGGTATTTCTGTAATATTTGACACGAGCGATATCAGCTTCACGACTCAAGTCTGTCACAGCAGGAAGTTTATCCCAGCCTGTTGCAGGAGAAGTTAAACCGCATAAGTTTCGCAGCAGAACCATCAAAAGTGTAATGTCGAATTGGGCCGATGACACTGATGTAGAGATGGCAGGAAAGAGCTTTCCCCATTGCGTTGCGTTTATGACCTTCCTAGTTCTCAGTGTCTGTAAAGTTGCTTTATTTCCCGCCAAAACTATGTGGAGATTTGTAGGTGTATGAATGGCATCAAAAGTGTCTCGGAGAGCCTGGGTGCCAACATCAACCATCAGCCGACATAGGCGAGCGTAGTTCGTCGTCTCTTTGGTGGATAAAAATGTTGGCGCAGCAGAAGCCATGGAAGGTTGCCTATCATTCAAAATCAACGACAAAAATGCAAGTGAACTATCTCTTACGATAGTTTTGCTTGTCTGCACTTGTCTGTGATCGCCACGGGAAAAAGAAATGTATAGTGAAAGGTTGTTTCGACGTCCAAACAACGATTTTGGAGAGAGATTTTTCGCTTTTAAACCTCTAATTTATCAGAAAATGGATTTGGGTAAAATTGATGCTAGGGAAGCGTAAGTCTTTGCTTGGACATCCACGAAATATGTAGTAACATCTACCGATTAACTTTTCTCTACGCGCAAGGTTTTTTGTGAAATTGACATCGCGTATTGGTCTCGGAATTTAGAAATGTTGGCTTTTAATCGCCAAGAAATAACTCAAGAAAGCCTTTTCGGTTTTTTTTTGACGTATGTCTACTTTAGCTTTTTCTTTTCTTGGCTTGGTAATACAAAAGAGCGCTACAACAGCTGTCTCAACGCAGCCGGAGATTTAAATGGTGTGCGTATGTGTACTAAGAACATAGCAAAAGTATTTGTATCTATGTTAGTAATATCACTGTGGGATTACTGAATGATGTAAAGTACTTAACCCTTTAACTCCGATCCCAGATCAAGTTTTTAATTCTCCTCAGTATCAATCATATAGTTCTCATAATGTTAGTTCAGAGAATTTAGTATTGGATCAACTAATTACTCCCAAATTGATATTTTTCTTTATGCTCATCCCATATCTGGCTGATATTTTATTGATATTTTAAGGAGAAATTCTGTCTTGGTCAATCATGGGAGTTAAAGGGTTAACAAGATTGTACCACCTCATTAGAAAGTTGATCGAAGAATAATGACAGAATATACAAGAAATTAAAGTGTGAGTGTCTTCTCTAGATGAATAAACAACAGTGTGCTCGAGCATTAAGTATTATTGTGATACATCAAAGAGATTTAACACTTTTGAGATGTGTTAAATAATTCATGCAGAAAGAGTGAGAATAACGTAACTTGTACTGTTTTGCGAAGCGAAACGAAACAAAATCAGGCGAGATATAACAAAACTAAAGGAATGATGCAGATATATTTCTAATAAGGTAAAGATAACTTCCACAAGAATTTTGGAGTAACCGTCAATTAATAAGAAGGATTTTTATTAATTTTACAAATTAGTAATTCAAGAACAACAACCTTTTTGAGAAATGGACTATTTTCCCCCTTGCGGTGACAATGAAACCTATTTCACATCACAAAAACTATAAAAACTGGTACATTACCAAAGATTTCGGCCCCCCTCCTTATTTCTTAAACCGTATTAAAAAATAGTTCGCAAAAGAGTAATTTTAGGAGAGATACTATTTTGCGAAAAAGACTATTTTCACTCTTAAATAACAGTGTCTTTCTTTTCGAGTCACCAAAATACGTTTAAACATATCATGATATATTCCCGAAGATCATGGTACGCTCCCATTTCATTATCCATTTAAAATCAATTTCGTAAAGTAGCAATTTTAGAAAAATTACAATATATTGCGAAATAGACTATTTTCACTGAGCGGTAAAGATAATGCCATTCTTGTGTCACACAATAAGTTTGGTAATATGCTAATGTATAATGTTTAAATAGATTTTCGTGACATGAAAAGGTCACGTTGTCACTGCAGTATGGAAATAGTCGATTTCGCAAAATAATAACTCTTCTTAAATAACTACTTTGCGAAATGAATTAAAATCCTTCTTATCACGTTTAACGTTTACTTCAATCTTTATCTTATTAAATGATATACCGCAATATTCCTTTAGTTTCGCTACATCTCGTCTGGCTTCGTTTCGTTTCTTATCGCAAAATAGAATACGCCGTCAAACCTGTATTTACGCGTAGTCACTCAATCACGAAAGTAAACCGGATTGTACTGGGTTAGTAACGTCAATATCAAAACCAGGAAACGTTCCCAGAAGCTTGTCTTCCACGAAAGTTCTTGATAAGCCACCAGAAGTTTTAAAATAACGATCACAAGGTCGCTCAACGTCTCGAAGGAACGCAGTAGACAACCTTCAAACAAGCGTGCAAGGTTGCCAGTAATTGGATCCTTGTGTTTGCGCAAAGATCTCTGGGGTCGCTACGAAGCAAATATGACAAGTTTTTTTGCAACAGAACCTAAATCCATTTATGTCAAAACAGCGGCGAGAAAGCAATGATCTTTCTCCAAAATCGTTTATTTGAATGCCGAAACGACCTTTCGCCGTATATTTCCTTCTAGCAACTTGTTATGTTTGCCTCATAACAATCCCAAAAATTATTGCGCAAACACAGGAATACGATTACCAGTAACTCTCACACCATCATCATGTAACCAGACGACTAAATGTCAATAATGTCAAGCCGCAATCGGGTTGACGTTACGAGTCACGCGTGACATGTCCGTCTGACTCTCACTCACGTATCTCATCGCGGGCAAGTGCGATCGCGATCTAAATTACCCCTTTACAAGTCCTTTGATTCTCCTCATTTTTCCTCGTTTAGGCTGAGATTAACCAAAATTTTTGGAACTTACCATAACATACCTAGGCGTAGATTCAGTTAAGAACGGTTAATTTTTTTCTATAGGTGAGAAGTACAAGTAAAGGTAAAAGAAATGTAAATCTGTGATCTAAGAGGACAATTTACTCAAATACTTGCATTTGGTGATCTATGACAGCGCGGTTATACACTAAAGAACAATTCAGTTTGTAGTCGAACCCAGACTGGTCACGTCCAAACTGATTTATTACCACACAACTTTAAGAAAATGTTAAGAACGTTTCCAGGCTCAAATCGAAAAAGCAAATAAGAACGTTAGGCCATAGCCCCAGAATTAGACGTTCTTTAAAAGAAAA